AGAAAGCCCAGGCTCCTGGAGGTGGTGAGTCACACCTGTGAGGCACTTGGTCCGCATGGTGGTTTATCTACCTCTGATGGACATCACAGATTTCAGGCTGGTTTGCACGTATCAGGGGCAGACATGCAGCTTTCTTTCCCTGAGCTGAAAACCCAGTCAAGCCAGTCTTCCTTGCTCAAAACTACCTCAGACCAGGAAGGCCTTAGAAACAACAGGAAAATGCTTGTCACCCACAACTTCTGCACTTTGGCAACAGAGAATTGAAGATTTAGAAGGGACGTTTTTACCCAAAAGTCACTAACAGCTGCTTATTCCCTATGAAGTATCAGGCAGAATGCTCAGCCACACAACAGTTTAATTGACACATATCCTGAGAGTTTTATAGCTTTAGTTTTTCTTGTTAGAAGATTTTGCCTCTCTCAGACATAATTACAAGTTCCATATTTTTGCCCTAAGGCTAAAATGTAAATCATTTCCTGGTATACCACAACTTCCCAGCATTGACTATATAAGGCAAGGCTGCACAGCACTGAAAATTAAAAACATCATTTTCCTAAATGTGTGTGTCATTATGATGTTTACCAGTGTGTTTTGCTGGTTAAGTCCCAGTTCCTATGTACTTCAGTCAAAGGCCTGCTGGCATTGTGATAGAAGCCCAGCAATGCAGCCTAAAACTTGCAGGTTTTCTTCTCTTTGGATTCTCTTATGAGCTCCTTCATAGAGTACTTTACAGGGCTCCAGAATATCGACTATAATGCCTTTCATAACCAGCAGGGGCAAATTCATCTCTGTTGGTTAAAGTCCTACTTAGGCCCCTGAGAAATACTTCTTCTCATTCGCTCTTAGAGTATCATCACTCTATCTACTTCCACTTACAAGTTTGTACAAATTTCTTCTCTGAATCTGTGTTTCCTCCTCCATTACGTCGGAATGATAACACCAGATGTAAGGAGTCCTTGCAAAACAGATTTCTAACAGCCACTGGGCACATAATAGTTGCTCAGGAGATGTGTGTTCCCTTCACTTGCTCTGCCCTTCTTCGTGCAGCTCCCATTCCTGCCCACAAGAGTAAGCCCCAGACCTGTAAGAATCACAGGGAGGAGAATGGAGTTTGTAATCACAACTCAGGAAATCATAAGAAATGGAACAGGCTTTTAAAAGCTATGCTGGCTTGACGAGCTTCATGGGCTCGGTCCAATGAAGTGACAAGGGAGTCAAGCAGCTAGGAGCTTGGATTATGAAATCAAGGAAGCTTGGGCTCAAACTCTACCTGTGACCTTGACCAGGTTACCTAACCTGTGTAAACTGCAGTTTCCTCCTGTGTAACAGAGGGGATAATAAGTAGTGGCCTGCTTTGCAGGGTTAGGAAGAATATTAAATGACAAAATGTATCTAAAGTGTCTAACACAGTAGCTGGTATGTTGCAAATACTCAATGTTAAGTGATCATTTCCTGTTACTAACAGCTATAAGCAGCATGCCCTTGTCTTACTAGCTGAAGAAATGGCCTCTAGTCAGCATGCTGCCCTTAGGCACCATGTGACTTTGGACAAGTCACTTAAACATTCTGCACCTCAGTCTCCTCATCCATAAAATGGAATGGGCATAAACTCCCACCATCCTTCACAGCACTGTTGGGAGTATCAAATAAAATAATGGGCGTAAAAGCACTCTGTGAAAGACACAGTGTAGAAATTTTAGCAGATGTTATTATTACAATACAAACTGTTGTTGAAATGCTAATGGACGCTAATCATAAGGTTCTTAAGTTCATCCAAAAAGCAAGTTGATTCCTGAACAGGGCTTAACTGAGTGAAAAAAAAAAATCAACCCAGAAGCATCCATTAGTCAGGAAATCACACTTCAAAGAAGGGTTTTAATGCTTCATACATATTTATGTGGTCTATTTCTGACTTTGGAATTCAACAGCCCATTTTCCTAATACTAAAATATATTCTTCTTTCACTGGAGGTTTGGGCAAAAGGGAAGAAAGGAAACAAGAGAATAAGTTGAGCCCCCTGAAGGCAGATTAAAGGTAGAAGAGGGATGGAGAGGGATAGAGCAAGGTGAAGACAGGAGACGTGACTAGGTAGCACATTATTTCCCCCACTAAGAGACTAGGAAGCAAGGGGATGAGGTCACCATAGTAGGTGTCTGGGTTCCAAATTCTCCTTATAAAATATTACTCAAACTTTGTCCTTTTCCAGGGTGTAGCTTTGGTGGAAGAACAGAGGAATAGGAGCTCATTCCTATCCCCTTCACAAAGCTGACCAGCTTATTGACATATGTATTGAACATCTACTATATGGGGAATACAATGAGATAAGACTGCGCTCCCAACCTTCAAGGAAGTGGCTCACAGTTCAATTGGTGATAAAGTACCTGAGATCATTATCAGTGCAAGTGGGCAAGTGGTAAGCCAGGATGTAGAAGCAATAAGGAGACTCATAACAGACTTCTGGGGTAAAAAGTTTGGAAAAGGACAAAAAATGAGTTAAGTGAGAGAGAATTCAGCCCCTGAGGATAAATTAAAAAAACAAAAATAAAAAATATGAAAAGCAAAATAACAATAATAAAATACCTAACAGAAAACCAAGAAGCAACCCGAGATGCCTAGCTCATCAAATTCAGGAACAGGCTAATGGTTTAACTTCTTACATGGTAGCAGGCTAGATGTGCATGATAGAGCTTTTCTTCACTTCTCATGATAAAACACACACACACACACACACACACAACATACACATACAAGACTGGCAAAATACAGAAAGCCAAAGATCAGAAGGAAGAGCCATTCACTGTGAGTATAAAATTTCCATTTAGTACGGCATCAGTAGGAACAGGTTAGGAAGTACATTCTTAGACCATAAATCACATGTTTCATCCTCACAACCAGACAGAAAGGATGGTCCCAAAAAATGTAGGAAAAGATCATAATCACCCCTAGGGTCTACACCAAATTTCAGAATAAATTTCAGAACCCAAGGGGTTGCAGAAATATGGTGAGCAGCATCCACTTTTATGGGAACTCTCCTGCCATCATGGAGTCCTATCCAAACCAGCTGTCCTGTCCTATCAGCCCTGCCTACTCTACTTTGGCTGAAGAGACCTCGCTCTCCCAATTTAGCAAGATAATGAATAAAGGTGGAAGCAGAGTTTTTTAGAAAAAGCTTTATAAATATGGGTAAAGACAGAGAGAGCTTACATTCTAGACAGCATGTAAAAGAATATTTAGTATTTTGTGCTATTTAAGTAACCGTAAATTGTATGTAACCTTAGAGTTTTAAAAAATGCAAGGGCTAGGGGCGCCTGGGTGGCTCAGTCGTTAAGAGTTTGCCTTCGGCTCAGGTCATGATCCCAGGGTCCTGGGATCAAGCCCCACATCGGGCTCCCTGCTCCGCGGGAAGCCTGCTTCTCTCTCTCCCACTCCCCCTGCTTGTGTTCCCTCTCTCGCTGTGTCTCTCTGTCAAATAAATAAAATCTTCAAAAAAAATGCAAGGGCTTATTAAAAGGATATTAACTATAATCCTAATCTGTTCAATCTATGATAGATAAGTTCCTATTAGACCTCAAAATAGGAAATAAAGGAAACATCAAATTAAATTTTTAGGTTGAATCTGAGTAGAACATGCGAACAGTAAGTAGAGTGAAAAATCATTCATCTATCCTCTTGGTTAACAAAGACAAAGCCTGACTAGATCTCATGAGATCTCTCTCAAGAGTGAAAGAATTGGCTAAAATGTGAAAATATAAGGAAATCCAAAATGCAATCAGGATGGATTTTAAAAACATATTAACAACAATGTGAAGAATAGGATGACACCGGAGAAAACAATTTGTAACAGAGCAGTGCTTCTCAAATTTTCAGGTGCACACGGATCATTTAAGGATCTTGTTAAAATAGAAATTCTGATTCAGCAGTTCTGGAATGGTGCAAAATTCTGCATTTCTAACAAGTTCCTGGTGATGCTGGAACTGCTGGTCCTACAAACCATAGAGACAGCAGAGATATAGAGAACAAGGTTGAAAAATTCTCCTAGAATACAGAGAAACAAAAGCTTCGAGGAGGAAGATGGTAAGTAGGATGAATACAGAATACATATCCAACCTATTATAGATATGCTAGAGGGAAAAAATAGGATTAAAAACAATAATCAAATAAAACTTCTCAACTTAAGGAGACAAAACGAAGAGACAGTATTCCAGGTTGAGGGAAAATTATTAAAAGAAACATACCTAGATAAATTTCTGAATTTCAATGTGGTAACATACACACGAACACACAGATCCAGGCCACAAAACAACTGCTACAAAGGGAAATATGGAGCAAAAAGGCAGGAATGGAGCAAAAGGCTGATCTCAGACTTTCCCCATACTATACATTGGGAACCAATAGGTATCAATTTGTAAAGAGATTTCAGGAGAAAAAAAATCTGTGCCCAAAGAATCTGACACTCAGTAAAGTTACTCTGCATGTCCCAAAGCAAGAGAACATTATTTTCAGGTGTGAATGTGCTCAGCAAAGATTAGGACATATCCGTATTACTTAAAGACATTCTGACTGCAGGTCTAATCAAAATTAAGAACTGATGACAAGGAAAGTTACAGTAATAAAGGGCTGGTAGTCAGCATTAAATCCAACTCAATCCTGTTTGCAAATGACAAACTTGAAAGAAAATAAGGTATAAACTCAGATTGAATCAAGCTATCCCAGGAAAAAGTATAAAAAAGACAGAGAAGATGGCATTATAGATGCAAAACATGAAGGAATTCAAGGCAAAATTTATTAAGCAGAAAAAAGGTCACTTAATATGAAAAAATTTACAATGCAGACTTCCAGTTCAGGAAGCAGTCTGATTACTCATACATAGCTCTTCTCTCTTCTGAAAGCCCACCGAAATAACAGTAAAAAAACAAAACAAAAGGAAACAACAACAACAAAACAAGAGAAAATAAAAGCAGAAAATAACTGTAGAAATAATAGAATAAAATTTTTCAAACCTGAAGGGTATCAGTCTTTAGGTTGAAAAAGTCTTGTAATGTTCACCAGGATGAATATAATAAAAAAGCATTCCTAGACGCATTTGGCAAAACTTGGAGTACTAAAATTAAAAAGAAAATCTTAGAATCTTCCAGAAGGAATACTTCAAGTTACCTAGAAAGTGAAGAAAATAAGCTTGGCATCAGACTTTTTACCAGGAATGGTACATGCTAAAAGACAAAGGAGCAATGCCTTCAAATTGGTAAGAGGAAATTATTTTAAGTCTAGAATTCTACACATAGCAAAATATTAGTCAAGCATGAGGTCAAAATTATAACATTTCCAGAAAAGCAAGGACCCAGAAAGTTCACCATCAATGTACATTTTCTAGAAAAAAAAATCACTTTGATATGTACCACAAGGGTTGGGGGGTAGTGAATAAAAAGAGAGGAATATACAGGATGTGAGAAAGAATGGAACTAATCCAGATGTGGCATGAAGAAAAATCCCTGGATGACAGCTCTAGACATACCAAGAAATAAATAGGTCAAAACATACTAAAGCATTCAACAAATAGTATGACTAACAGTTGTAAGATATTAGTAATATGATGGAAAGGCATGTGTTTCTTTTGTCAAAAGAAAGATAATTAGAAACTCCAGGAAAAAAAAAAAAAAAAAACATTTTCCAAGAACAGCCCAAAATATGAAACAAGTTAAATCCTGGCCTGAGTCTGAGTAATAAATGGGATATTAAAAGAGAGAGAATCCATTTAGCCTTGACCTTGGATCATTTCCCTTCCAGGGGCATAGGTGTTGAATTGCATTACCTTCTCTATGTATCCAATATTCCCACCAAATATGCAGTGAATATTTACATCACTATTATATTAAAATGCTGTCTATCAGCTTATAACTTTCAGAGTCAACCTGCAGACAAAGTATGGAAGATTTATCATAACTAGAGGAGAGAATGCTCTAAACCTTGCCCACATAAGAGTGATAACAGAGCTAACAGAAGCTGGATGGTAGAGAAAGAGACATGCAAAAGATGCTGACTGGGAAATTCATTTCCCCATCTTAAATACCAAAGAGTCAAAAAGTGTTCTAAGTTGATGAATCAAGAAGTAGGAATTTAAGTATTTTTTAAAATTATAAAGGATATGAAAATAAATTGGGAGGGATTTGAGAAGGAGAGATAAGGGTATATTTAATTTTTCATATGGAAGAAGCATAGATAATATCTACAGTTAATAAATTAATAACAAATTAAGAATGAAAGATATAAACATATTATTTAGAGTTATGAAAATAACCACCAGAAGAAATAAAAATAGTCGGGGCGCCTGGGTGGCTCAGTCGTTAAGCGTCTGCCTTCGGCTCAGGTCATGATCCCAGGGTGATTGAGCCCCACATCAGGCTCCCTGCTCCGCGGGAAGCCTGCTACTCCCTCTCCCACTCCCCCTGCTTGTGTTCCCTCTCTTGCTGTGTCTCTGTCAAATAAATAAATAAAATCTTAAAAAAAAAAAAGAAATAAAAATAGTAAAAAATATTCAAAAGTAATTACCGATGAAGGGTGAGATTACAGGTAGGGAGTCTGAAGAAAGATTTTACTCTTCATTTGATGTCCTTCTATACTCTTTGAATTCTTACTTCCAGGTATAGGTGTTACTTTTAGGATTTTTTTTGAAGAACTAAAAGTTACAATCCAGAATACATATGAGAATCATCAAATTCATTAATTTTATGGAATAAAATATAAAACAAAAATTATCAATAATATAAATAAAAATTACAAAAGCTCAACTTGAGAGGGGAAGTAATTTATCACTTTCTACAATAATAGATCAAGTAAGCCACAATTAAATAAAAATTATTTTAAATTAATAATTATATACTTTGTGCCTTCAGAGATGATACATTTTTAAATATCTATGAAATATTTATAAAAATTGACCAGGTAATTGGTCACAGGATAAGTCTCAGGACTTCTAAACAGTATAAATTATAGACTACATTCTCTAATCACAATGCAATAAAAGTAGAAATTAATAACAAAATAATTTCAAATCCTATGAAAAAGAGTTTTATTTTTTTAAGATTTTATTTATTTAGGGGCACCTGGGTGGCTCAGTCATTAAGCATCTGCCTTCAGCTCAGGTCATGATCCCAGGGTCCTGGGATCGAGCCCCACATCAGGCTCCCTGCTCTGCAGGAAGCCTGCTTCTCCCTCACCCTCTGCCTGTTGTGTCCCCTGCTTGTACACTCTCTGTCAAAAATAAATAAAATCTTTTAAAAAATTAAATAAATAAAAGAATGAGTTCAGTTATTCAAATTCAAATAAAATAAGATTTTATTTATTTATTTGACAGAGAGAGACACAGCAAGAGAGGGAGCACAAGCAGGGGGAGTGGGAGAGAGAGAAGCAGGCTTCCTGCAGAGTAGGGAGCCCGATGTGGGGCTCGATTCCAGGACCCTGGGATCATGACCTGAGCTGAAGGCAGATGCTTAACGACTGAGCCACCCAGGCGCACTGAAAAAGAGTTTTAAAGCCACTCTCCTATTACCGTATCAAATGAAAAATTTAAATTAAAAGTAGAGCCTATTTAAACCTAATGAAAATAATAACTAAGTAAAAATGTAAGCATTCTTGACAGAGCTATACTCAAAAGCCAAATCCACTTAGAGTAGTTCTGGAAGGAAAGCCAGGAACCTGGGAACTGGGCTGCCTCCCAATGTGGCCCTCATAGACTGGAGCAGGGTAAGGAAGGAGACTTGCTTTTCTCTGTGAGTCCTTTTGTATTCTTTGACTGTTGCATCACATGTATGAAGGACCACAAAATACAGAAGTATTATTTATTTATTTATTTATTTGAGAGAGAGAATGAGAGAGAGAGAGAGAGAGCACAAGAAAGGAGAGGGTCAGAGGGAGAAGCAGGCTCGATCCGAGGACCCTGGGATCAAGACCCAAGCCGAAGGCAGATGCCTAACTGACTGAGCCACCCAGGCGCCCAATACAGAAGTATTTTTAAATCAAATTGATAAATTTAAATATTTTCATTACTAGCCAAGAATTTTGTTTTAAATGAACCAACAATTCATGAACCTAGGAAAGAAAGAAAAAACAGTGGCAAGCAAAGCAGGAAGAATAAAATGAAAATCTAAGCAGAAAACTAATAAATTTTAAAACAATAAATGATGAGTAGATAAGTAGATAAGTAAGTAAACAAGTGGAATGGGTGGTAATTTGGGAAAAGAGTTTTTAAACTGACAAAGTTCTGACAAATCTAAATAAACAAGGAAAAAACATTAGAAAAGAGGTAGGAAATAAAAGAGTTCATCATTGACTAAGTGCCAAGCACTGTGTGTCAAGCATTTGGCATAGATGGTTTCATTTCATTTTTTTTTTTTTACCAACAGATAAGTCAACATGTCTTAATAACTTAAGAGAATTCTACCCACAGTTATATTTAAACAAATTGGAAATCTAAATAAAGTGAATAATTTCTAGAAATACTAATTAATAAGATTGATTCAATGGAATAGGAAAACTGAATATCCGTTGAAGACATTGCAAATGTTACCAAGGGATAATTTGCTAAAGTGGTTCTAGGCCCAGACAATGCTATTTGGACAAGGCCTTTCAAGTTTTCAAGAAGCTGATTAACATCTACATTGTATAATCTATTCCAGAGCTTATAAAATTATGAAAAGCTACCCCAATTCACTTTATGAAGTTAACATTAAGTCTGATGCCAAAATATGACAATGACTGGTATATTCCAAAGAGGTTTCTGTGGAAATTGCCATCACTTTCTGAGGAAGGGTGGTCTATTGTGGATCAGTTTGGAAAATACTCTCAAGAGATTTACAGCATGTATTAGCATATTAAAGTCTCTGAGAAGCCAGAAGCAAAGAAATTTGTTTAAATGTTTTAATCTGCCTTTCTCAAATGCATCTGACCACGGAACTATATTTTTCCTCATAATACTCCTTCTTAGAAAACACTTCAAGAAATGGTACTCCAGAAAAGATTCATTTATGGATACAATGTGAAAATGCTAAATGAGGAACCAGTCAAATTAAGTCAAAGTATATTAAAATAATAAGCCAGCAAAATCAAGTAAGGATTACCTCAGGAATACAAGGATTGCTTAATATTAGAAAATATATTAATATAACACATCACATCACTAGGTCAAATAAGAAGAGCACATAATTATCAAAAAAGGACAAAAGATCACTTGATAAAATTCAACACTTTTTTTCTGATTTTTAAGCCTCTCATAGTAAACTAGGAAGCAAAGTATATTTCTGAATCTCTCTTAGGCCAGTTGCCAATACCTCTTAGCAGCAAATTACTAAAGCTGCTCACATTAAAATCAGGAGGAAGGTAAGGATGTCCAGGATCACAACTAACATTTAAGTAAAGAAACAAGATATATAAATATTTGAAAAGAGGATAGAAATTATTGATTATTTGTACAAGATGATATAAGAGAACCAAAAAATTATTTTTATTTATTTATTTTTTTAAAGATTTTATTTATTTATTTGAGAGAGAG